TCTCTCTCTCTCTCTTCTCTTCTCGGTGAGTTTACAACCCAAGGGGTTTAGCTTGAGCTCGAACACGAGCATACCTTCTTATGTGTGAGAGAGAGATGGAGTTTGGGTTTTAGAGAGAGATGGAGTTTTAGAGAGAGAGAGAGAGATGTAGTTTGAGTTTTAGGGAGAGAGATGGAGTTTGAGTTTTAGAGAGAGAGATGGAGTTTTGAGAGAGAGAGACAATGATGTGAGAGTGAGAGAGATGGAGTTTTAGAGAGAGAGAGATAGAGTCATTTCATAAGTTGTTGAGGTCAATAATACATGGTCAAAAAGGTTGAGGGGGTTGGAAGATAGAAAAGATGGAGTCTTCTTGCTAATAAGTAATATTTTCAATGCTTGAGTCTAATGAGATATAGAAGTTAAAAAAATATAAGATATTAGGATATTTTCCCTAAAATCTTTTGGAATGAGTTTTTTTTTTTTGCCGTATATTGTATATAAACAAAAGAAAGCGTGGCAGTAGGAAGATAGGAAGGAAATGGAGTTCAAAAGGAAACTAATAATCCTCTCCCACTTTTTCTCCCGAAATAGAATGCTTTGCATCAGTCCTAAAATATTACGTTAAATATGCTATTTATAAGCGGAAATTACGAAGAAGATCGGTCAGCCTACCTTTTTTTTATTTTTTTAAAATTGACCAACCTTTGTAATTTCCATCTATAAATGGAGCATTCTCCATTTTACCTAAAATTTTGGGGTCAGGACATAAATCACTCTAAAAAAATATAGATGACCCATAACGAGTCTTGGATTTTAATATATCCGTGCTTTGGATCCCAATGTAACCTAGCAAACAAGAGAAAAAGACCTTGGACTTGAGATGGATAGTGGATATTAGGAGTAATTCCTGTAGATGAAAATTAGTTGTACTTCATTTTTGCCCTCCATGTCTGTGAATGTGCCATACCTTATGGTGTACCATGTAGAACCATATAGCGTACCGTCCCAAGCATATACCTTTTGAAACTACATCCCCCTCTCATGGCATGCTTGATTGTTTTCCTAAATTGCTTTTGTGCAGTGGATACTACATGACTGGAAGGACGAAGACTGTGTGAAGATATTGAAGCAATGTCGAAAAGCACTCCCTTCCAAGAGCGGGAAGTTGATTATTGTGGACGTAGTTCTGCATCTTAAGGAAGATACCAGTGCCTTTGCTGACTCGAGGTTGGCATTCGACATGTTAATGTTTGCAGTAACCTCAGGAGGCTTGGAGAGGACAGAGGAGGAGTGGAGGGCACTGTTGAGCAAGGGTGGTTTCAGCAACTGCAACATCAAACCGCTTCCTACCCTCCAGTCAATTATCGAAGCTTACCCCGACCCAAAAGAGTAGTATTACCATAAACTACAACGAAAATATTATACGATCCATATAGTTTTGAAAATGACACGATCATGTGGATTATCACCATCAACTCAGTGAATTTAATAATGACGGTGGGAAACAGGGATTGTTCATAGCACCATATCGCTCTTATCATAGGGGCACTAAAGTATAAAGTGCCTGTATTACTGGTAGAGCATCCCTCTTAATTACGATTCCATGGATGGTGTTTGTGTAATATTTTTGTATTAAGAACGATGTGCTTCCCTATTAGTGATGATTCTATGGATGGTGTTTGTGTGGTATTTTCGTGTTACAAACAGTATGATTCTCACTGTTTTCAGGTAAATCAGTGATAATCTCTCATTTCCGTCGTCAGTTGGTGTTGTCATTTTTCACATGTGTTGTAGAGCTGAAATAAATTTTATTGCGAGGGTAATATTAGATGGACTGATGCAAAAACGATCCATGTGGTCATGATAACCACAAGACCATATATGTTATAACTATGTTTGGACAACGAAGGTGATGCAAATACGGCTAATGACATATTTGGTGGGCACCACTATATCACGTCCAACTTGTTGAAGACATTGGGATAGTAACAAGCGGAAATTTTAGATTAACTCCAAAATCAACTTTCTGCACATCCTGCCCTCAATATTTTTTATATTATATACTAAATCTCAATATTATTTTTTCTTGTATTTACCGTCCCCACCATCTCCAATTAAAAAGTCAAGAAAATTGAAACCAAAATATCTTTCTTAATACTTCTCCCATATTTTACTATGTTTAGGTTTTAGAGCTGCACCCTTCTCTCTCTACCAAAATTTCATAAACTCCTGAAATTTCAATCTCTCCCCAAACTCTCCTCTCTCTCTACCGAAATCCCATGCGAAAAGTTTCTCTCCCCCCAAACTCTCTCTCACTTTCTATGAAATCCCAAACTCCTTCTCACAGCAGAACTCTCAATGTAAGCTGTGGATCTCCCTCTCTCTATGCCCAATCTGTCTTTCTCAATCTCTTTGCCCAAACTCTCTAGCTTTAAGAAATCTCAATCTCTCCATTTCTGTTTTTTTAGAAACCAATCTCTCCTTCTCTCTCTCTTTGTGCCCAATCTCTTGATTTCTTTCTCTCTCTTTGCCCACTCTCTCTCTCTCTATAAAATCTCTCTTGAATCACCCATTTTTTCCCCTCTCAATCTACAAAATCTCTCTTGAATCTCCCATTTTTTCCCTCTCTCTCTATTCTCAATCTCACTGGATATCTCTCAGATCTCACTCTTTGTGCCAAAAACTCTCTCTACAAAATCTTTCTAATATCTCTCATTTTCCCTCGTGCTCTTTCTCTCTCCTCAACTAGGTGACAAACTATATTTAATAATAACCTCACTTGATGTCATTATGGACATATGGATCAAATTATATAGCTCCACAATGTTTGCAATGGTGTTATACTGGCTACATGATTGGTGAACTGTCGGGCTCCAGCAAAACATGCCTTACTAAACCAGTTCAATAGATTTTTATGATATAAAAAAAATTATGAATAATAATTTAAAATATATAATATATTACACTGGTCAAAATTAGTCATATGCCAGTTTTGTTGTTTATTGAATAAACATAAATTTACTTTAGATCAAACTGACCAAAGTACTAATTGGTGGTCAAACAGGTAACCACAAGTCCGGCCTGGTATAGATAGATTTGATTTGTGAGCCGTGCTTAATATATGGGCATAAAAGAGTTTGCTAGCAGGTTGCCAATTATCTCACGTTAAAAAGGGAAGGTTGGTGTATGGCTCAAAGTTTGGTTGAACTTCTATTGGAGGAACGTCCCACTCCAACCGTCCATTATTGGGTTTCCATGGTTGAGGAGGTGCTAGCAACCTATTTGAAGCTTTAAAAGCTAGAATTGAGGTTTTTTTTTTAAGGGATTGTATACAAAGATATTTTCTTTTTCTTTTTTTTTTTTTTAAGAAAAAAAATCACAATTACTTTTAGCCATTGATGTGAAATCCAATACATGAAAGCAAGATTCAAAACATTGACTCGGCCAAAGTACTCAGGCCAAGGCGATTTATTCAGCAGAGTTCGATTTCCTCGGCCGAGTCAAACTCTTGTTTTATTTTTTTTAACATAAATTAATTACATATATATAATGAGGAGCAGCGTTTATTCAATGTGCGTCCGCTGGCTTCGTGGTAATGTGCCTGCACTAGTCATGCACCTCCAGGACGTGGGATACATTTTCCCTAACCCTTTTACTTCTTTTTCCAGCCAATAAAGATTACATTCTATATTAAAATTCCTTTTGCTTCTTTCTAGCAAATAAAGATTACGTTGTATATAAAAATGGAGGACTATTGCAACTACAGTTATGTGTGGGCAGGTCTTAACCTCCGAATAGGTTGTGAGTTCCATTTTTATAGGTGGCGTATTTTTTTAACTCTAATTTTCTTAGTGCATGAAATTATTTATGAGTTTTTTTTTTCCATAACTCTCCTAAAAAAATATATATATATTTACTCTACATTTGTTAATGGCTTAGATTTATGTTTTAAATCTATTTTATTAATGGCTTGGCTTTATTTTAGAATTCTTCTTTTCATAGCTCTCTTAAAAAATATATTTTTTAACACTATATTTATTAATGGTTTGGATTTAAAAATGGAGTTTTTTAACACTATATTTATTAGGAAAAATTTTATATAAGGATGCTACCTTAGTAAAACTATGGATATCGCTCAAAAACCCATCAGAAAAAGTAGTTTTAATACTGAAAAACTTCGTTTGATTGATCATCTCGACATCAAGATGTATGACTATGAAAAATAAAAAGATTTTCAGTCTCAGAAATAGTGCATTTTACAACATATGATCTATACTGTCTATTTTCAAGATTTTCGTATGTTTATAGATCTACTTGATTTTAACTATTTTTTAAATTTAAAATTTTTTAATTAGATATAAAAATAGATTTTGAAATAATCCTAAGAACATTTTACATCAAAATTATATACCATAATAATATTTGATGGTGCACCTTACCTCTACACGTACGGATGCATCGGGTATGCCAACTGCACCCTATTTATTAATGGGTGTACTGAATGTTGTCTTGGCTTAGTGTTTTGTTCCGCTTCTTAACAAAATATTTTCTTAGCTTAATGTTTTGTTATGTACTGCAGTACTAGCAGTACCGAATTAGGTTTTTTCCTTTTCTTTTTTGGAATTGGTACCAGTATTTTTTGTAATAGTAATACTAATACCAAACTACCATAATACTAGTCCTAAAGAGAGAGAGAGAGAGAGAAAGATAGTTGTCAATGCTGCAAGAGTAGCAATGACAGCAAAATCAACAAAATAGAAACCGTGAAGAGGTGAGAGCATTCAAATAGTAGTAGTCTCCATTCTAGAAAACTTATCAAATTCGAGAATAACTCCTCGACTATGAAGTATGAACCAAGGACTCCAAATCACAGCCAAATCCTACTCCCTCAACCAAATCAAGCAACTCCATGCGTACCTCATCACAACAACCCAACTTCTCAATAAATTCACACAAACAAAACTCATATCTCTATGTGCAAACTCCCCTTCAAACACTTTCCAATATGCACGACTAATCTTCTCCTAGATAAAAAATCCAGATACATTCTCCTATAACACCATGATAAGGGCTTCTACTCTGCACTCTAACCCACAAGCAGTCCTTCAATTTTACTCTAAAATGAGGCGTGAAGGTGCTTCTCCTGATGGCTTCACCTTCAACTTCTTGCTCGAGTCGTGCCGCCGTACCTGCAAGGATGCGTATGGAATGCAAGTCCATGGCCATATAATCAAGCTTGGATGGGCATCTTGCAATAAGATCTTGGACACTAATTTGGCTATGATGTATGTGGATTGTGGCCAATTAAAATGTGCAATGCAAATGTTTGATAAGGTGCCTCAAAGAGATGTTGTTTCATGGAGTGCTATAATAGCCATTCATGCAAGAAAAGGGGACATAGACCATGCACTGAGGCTCTTGGATTGCATGGGGTCATCAGGCATCCATCCCAATGAGGTTACATTGATGCCAATCATCCAAGCCATTGCCAAGTCCAGTGCACTCACTCTAGGGAAACAACTTCATAATTTCATAGATAGAAGCCCATACATAAGGAAAGACACTTACTTGAGCAATGCCATTGTGTATATGTATGCAAAGTGTGGTGATATAGACAAGGCTAGATGGGTTTTTGATGGGATTATAGAGAAAGATGTATGGTCATGGAGTGTCATGATAGAAGCGTTGGCAATACATGGCCATGGCGAGGAGGCCTTAAGAGTCTTTTCGAGAATGTTGAAGGTCGGCGTGCTGCCTAATGAGGTCACACTATTGAGTGTGTTAAGTGCATGTAGCCATTCAGGGCTGGTAAGTGAGGGCCGGAAGTTGTTTAGAGAGATGAATGCCAAGTATGGTTTGGTCCCAAGAGTTGAGCACTATGGGTGTATTGTAGGCCTGCATTCACGGGCCGGGCTTCTTGATGAGGCCCAAGAACTTGTATGGGGGATGGGAGAAAGGCCCAATGGGCTTGTGTGGCGAGCATTGGCGGGTGGTTGCATGGCCTATGGGAATGTGGAGATGGCAAAGGATGCATGTCAATTGCTTCTTGAGTTGGATCGTGATCATGTGGGGGACTATGTGCTCATGTCTAATGTGTATGCTAGTGTTGGAAGGTGGAAGGATGTAGAAAGAGAGAGAAGCATGGTGGATATGTTGGGGTTGAAGAAAGTGAGAGGTGTAAGTGCCATTGAGTTGGATGATCATGGTTATCTCTCTACACTCAAAAACAAAAATGATCATGGCCGTATGTGTAGATGACATAGTGCATGTTTGGTATTGTCTAAAACATGAAAGTTCTAGTTCTCTAGAATCTAGGGCTTTTTGATATCAAGAAGTTCCTGAATGTTTCTTTCATAATTTGGAATTTCTCGAATTTCAGTTGGGGTTGAGAAAGGGAGAGGTGCAAGTTTGGGTTGTTCTTAGGGTTGGGGTGCCTGTTGTTTGGATAGACCTGGTAAGAAACC